TGAGCTCTCCTTCATGTGAATACATTTGATTAGCTGTTAGCTTGTGACATAAAGTCTGCACACTGACTGTATGTGAAGCTGAAGTTACCATTCTGTTATTTTCCATCAGACCTCTCTCCTTTATCTCCTGTATGTTGATAAATTAAGAGTCAAGGCAACTTTCCGATGATAATATCTTGCTCAGGTAAAAGATTTTTAACTTTCACTGACAGATTTTGCCTCACAACTTAAACAAACTTGTTAAATTAGCCAGAATTTGCTTGTTGGCAATGTTAGCAACACTGTGTATAAAGGAACATCTTGTGACTTTTTGTTACTGTCTTTGTACAATGAAACAACAGCCTTTAATTCATTGTGGTTTTATCCTGTATAAAACTATAAAGTCCATATATAAAATTGATATATTCATTGTACAGAACATTGAGGAGTTTTGGACAAAAGGTTTATGCCAAAAGGTTTAAAATAACATCTATAATGGCAGCCATGCAGCTGCATTCAGTACAGTCCAGTCAAGCAGCGTGTTTGGACAGAAATGTGTTAGTTCATGCTTTTCTTTCAGTGCTGGATGTGACTGCATTGAGTTCAGAGTGTTCTCTCCACAGTTTCCTGATGTGGACGTCATTCAGCACTAAATAGGCAGGAAGGAGCCCATCACTGTTGTCCAGTGTTTGATTTGCATGACTATGTGATGTCTGATGTCACGTATGAAGAAATGGAAATATTTCACAGATACCACAACAGAACCACAGTCCAGCCGAGCACAGTGAATGGAAATGTGGGCAGAATGAGCTGTGAGACTTAAGGACCAGACCATTGTGGCTTTGGCTTCAGCTGACAGAGGAAACAAGGACGCCCTTGTCCCAAAAAGAATTAAATATGCAAGCATATATACAGAAAGACCAAATAGGATTTGATGGATACCTCTTCTGCTCAAGAACCAGAACATTGCTAAACAGAACTCCAGGCTACAGCTCCTCTGAAAACTCACATTACGCTGCCTCACTCTGTTAAAAGATCACATATGAGCTAAGAATATGGTAAAAGAATAGAGTTAATGGTACTTTTTAGGGAACACAAGCCGTTTTTTGGGTGGAAGTGGAGTCTGCGCTCCTCCTGAAGGAGCGCAGGGTAAGAGGATATTGTGGCAACAGACGGGCACACTTTAATCCTGGCAGCAGGGGCAGACATCTGATTTCCAGATGTTTCAGATGGCCTCTGATGTGCAGCCAAGACCAGATTCACCTAGAACAGCACACCCCAACTTTGTTCTTTCTTTCTCACTCATCGAAGTTCATTCTCTCTGCTCTATGTTCTCTTTCTGTCTGATTCACCTATAGCACGTGCACGCTTACATGCACCGCAGGCATTAAAATACAGACATTGCAGGCATATGTGCAAGACATTATTCTGTGGATCCGCTCTGTCTCTTTATGTGTTTCAAACCACATCCAGCTGACTCTTCTGGTTTGCTCCCTTTTTTCTCTCTGTCTCTTTGCCTTGCATCAGCAAATCTGTACTTTGACAAGCAACTTTTCCAACACTCCTACATGGGCAAAGAGCAGCAACACACAAAGACTAATATACAGAGTAATTGACAGCAACAGAAACCTGGTTTGTTAAGATCATCGTGTAATGATTCTCCAGCCATTTTCAGACTGTAACCTGAAGCCCAGATTGTCCAGACAAGCCGATCATGGTCAAAGCACGGGTTCTGTTGTGGAGATGTTTGTCAGCTGAGTGCACGTATGCTTTCCATCTGTGTTTGCAATTTATTTTAATACAATTCAGTCATTTGGCTTCTCTGATATACGGCCATGTGCAGCACAAATAGGATGTTTGAGTGTGAGAGACAAAGAAATCAAGTAAGAGATGATCTGTTTTTGTTTGTGTGTCTGTGAGGCACTGCTCTGTGTGTGTGTGTGTGTGT